TGTCCTGGGTGCTCCAAACACTCGGAGGCTCTGTTGGCCTTCAGATGTAGTCCCAAGTCTACACACGCAGAGCAATAATCCTCGAGTCTCCTGATTCCCTTCCTGTCATTCTAGCTCCAGAGATGGAGGCAGGAGGATCAGGAATTTAGGGCCAACCTCAGCTGTAGAGGAGTTCAAGGCCGGCTGGGCTTCATGAGACCCTATCTCAAAACTAAAACCACGAAAACCAAGGAAGAGAAAGAGAGAGAAGATGTGCCCGTCATGGACTTAAGTCACCTTAGAGGAAAGCAGATGGTTTCCGTGGGCCACGCTCTGTGGAGGCACCTGGCCACTACGGCATCGGCAGCCATTTTAAAGGCTGTTTTAGAACACACTTCGTCAATCAACATTCTCAAACCATCACTTGCTGAGCATTCTCCAAAGGTCTCAATGGTTAGACGTGCATTTAAAGGAGCATTTGTTAATGGCCCCAAGTATCTTGGAACTGAGAGATCAGCCTCAGATCTGGTCCACACAGCCCAAGCTGGAGCCCGAGTCCTTGCCCCTGTGCCAGCTCCTGGTACAGGGGAGTGAGCTGCCATACACCTGTGTTGTGCTGTCTTAGCTCTTCAATGTTGCGCCCTCACACACGCCGATGGGGCGCATACACACCTGTACAGAGGCGAGAAACCTCCACCCAATGACCCGTGTCTAACAGCTCCCAGCTCCTAGGTTTCTGCATCGAATGCAGTTTCCAACCAAGACAAAGACAGCAATCCACTGCATAATGTGAAACGACTGTGCTCCGTGTGTGGTTCGTCATGAAATCTCTGCTGTATGTGTTTGGGGAATGACGATTATATGTATAGACCGTATGTAAGAGGCTGTGCTGCCCAATGTTGCGTAAACTTACCAGATTCTCTAGTCTGAATATTTAACTTGTTATTGTAAAATGTGATTTCTCATTGAGAGATTATTTTTCTGTATGTACATGAGAGTATTTTAGGAATCTAATTTAAGTGCATAAACTCTAGAAGAAATTAAAACCATACTCCAGGAGTAGCAATGCCTGATCGGATCTCTTGGGTTCAACCCAACTAAATTTTATTAAAAGACAAATCCAAGTTGAATGTTTAGGAATTCAAAAGTGTGATTTATTTTTTCCTTCTGCCTTGCAGGGGACATGGTGTTAGTGAAGTGGGTGGAGGCATGACAGAATGGGAGGGACCATGTAGCCATGGCCTGGGGTGAGATCTTGTAACACTACAGGTTGCCTCCTACAGATGTCATATTCCGGAGTGAGACACACAGTCCATCTTCCAACAGACTGCTGCCACAGACCATGTGGCCTGGTCAGAGAACTCAGGAGCATTCAGGGAGGCCGCTCCCCAGCTTCAGCTTCTCCCACCATTGAGAAGCTGATGGGGTGAGGGTGAGGGGAGGCCGAACCTGGGTTTTCCAGGCTCAGCTGTTTGTAGGCAGGGGAAACAGGTACCCCATGCAGCTTCCTGAAGGCCCAGGCTGAGGCAAGAGGCCTGCCTCCCCTACTCTACACCCTTTCCAGAAAAATACCAGAAGTTCAGGCTGCTTCTGAGCACCGCTGGAATGTTTCTTCAGGTGACCCAGGGAGGCTGGTGAAACTGTGTCTAACCTCTTCCCCCGGCCCCCGCTCCCCAAGAGAGCATCTACAAATGACTTTAGTTAGTGGTGACTCTGAGTCCAGCCTTGCCACCTGATCGGAAATGCCTCTCGATTAAGAGCCAGTTTCTGGTGACACGGGTGACCACTGATCATTGCAAAAGTCCAGGGTCCACTGATGAAAAGGACAAGCACGAGGGTGTGTTGGGCCAGCGCTTCTTTCAGTAAGCTGTGTGCCTCTTAATGCTGCCAGCTCTGTCTTAATAACCCCGCTCTGGCGCACGCTGGAGTCAAGCCGTGTCCTGCCTGCAGAGGTGTGGGCAGCTTTACTGCAGGATGCTTCCTGGACTCTGTTAAGGCTGAAAATGACTGTATTCTATAGCTGCCTCTAGTCTCAAAGACGGGGCCACTTAGCTTGCTCAGATGTAGCCTGGGAAGGCATGTCAGGCCAGCATGCAGAACTGCACAAACTCTGGCTTCTCTGTCTGCATAGACCCTGCTTCTTCTCTCCTGGAATGATGAGCGCTGGGCTGGGGTGACCACAGGTTGTGAGGATACACCAGCCAGACGAGAGAATGCCAGGCCCTCCCCCACGGCATTGGTCGGTTAGCATTTGTGATCTCTGTAGTGGGCCACGGTGCTGGTAGCCTGCAGCTTCTTCACAGCCGGCAGTGGCAGAACTAAGCCACTCCCCCATGGATGTCCAATTCATTGTAATGTGTACTTGTTGCTAAGTAACAGTATTTTCATGAAAGGATTATAGTGTCCGCTTTATAACACTAATAGAGTTCTAAAGATTATTAGACATTGCTATAAGTTAGACTTCTACATCTGCACAAGGCCCGCTGAAGCAGGCTCATAAAGCTTCTTTTCCATTTGTTTAAAAGGTTTTTTAGTCTGTTTTTTTCATGTCTGAACACCCTTTGGCACCTTATTACACATGAAATGTTGTCTTACCAGCTCAGTTTCCAGCAATAGGGCATTGACTTTCATTGTACAGTGGCAACATCAGTAGGAATCGCCAGGCCCTGCATCTCATTCTTGGTCGCTTTGGCCTGTATGGTCCAAATCACATAAGCTCACGAATAAAACAAGAACAGCCAACCTCACTACCTCAGATTATTCTGAGCTTTTTCTTCCTCCACTTCTTTGCCGACACACAGGACGCCCTGAAAACGAGTCTCTCCCTGTGGCCATTTCCCAGAGTAAGGTTGTAGTTGTACAAGAAAAATGATGTAAAAATAAAATAAAAACATATGGCAATCCCTACCTTTCCAATTCTCCTGTGTTCTCAGAGTCAGTTCTGAGACAGACTCCTTGTGTTGAGTATTCCTAAGAATAGCATGAGAAATGCTGAGAACAGTTAGGGGCACCAAGGAAACCTAGCAAGCCCAGTAAAACTCCCTGGAGACTCTTACACGAGTGGGCTTTTCTTTTTGGACAGGGTCACACATAGCTACCTGAGGCTGGCCTTAACTCCCGATCCTCCTGTCTCACACCCCATGCACAGTTGGCTTCAGTGTGAACTTGTGGTGCCCTTCATGTGCTGTCTTCTATGTGCCCAAAGTAGGATGTTAGGTGTACCCTACTTAATAGTTAACACATATCATACCCATGCAAAGGGCTGTTCAATTGCACAGCTCAAAGAAACCTTCCCGTTTGTTTGCTTTTTCTCATCAGCTTGTCTTCCAGTGTGGTTTTGAGAGTTGTTTAGCTATACCTTCATTTACCCTAATTTGTCCTAAGACCCAAATGGATGGCTACACACACACACACACACACACACACACACACCTTAAACCTTTTTATCTTTAATTATATGGTGGGGGGCAGGCACGTACACACGGGTGCACTCTGTCTGCACTGGCCACAGGTGTTGGATCTCCCTGAGTTACAGGTGTTTGTGAGCTGCCTGTGTATTGCATCAGAATTCAGGACTTCTCGAAGACCACCAGTATATGCTTTTAAACACTGAGCCACTGTTCCAGCTGTTTTGCTATTTTGTTCTGCTTGCTTTGTTTCCTCAAGACAGGATTTCTCTGTGTGGCCCTGGCTGTTCTGGAACTCTCTGTAGACCAGGCTGGCCTTGAACTCAGATCTGCCTGCCTCTGCCTACCAAGTGCTGGATCAGGCTTTTGCTTTTTGAGGCAAGGTATCCCAGGCTGACCTCAAAATCCCTATCTTCCTGCCTCAGCCATGAGGGTTGGGATTATGCAACACGCCACCACACTAGGCTGTTCTGTTTGAAGGTGTTAGGAAGGGCTTCCCTGTGAAGCTGGGCGAGGTGGCACATGCCTCAGTCTCAGCACTTCAGGGGCACATCGCTGCCTCGGACCCATGGCCAGCCTCAACCCAGCTCCAGGACATTGTACTTCATAGCACAAGATTATCGTGGGCAAGGCTTTGGGGTCATCTCTGGTATTTGTGGGGTAATCTGCATCAGTGCTGCTGTCTGTGTGAGCCTTGCAGTGAGCAAGCCGAAGGCAGGCAGTGAATCTTGGGAAGGTAGAGAACCATGCTCAACAGGAGAGGCGAGCCTAGCAGTGCTCAGCAACAGGGGCTTGTTTCTCCCTTGTGGTAAGAGCCCCTCGCCTGGCTGCTCTGGACCCCACTACCTCATCTGTATCTAGTTTGAAGAAACCACCTGTGGACTGCCAGGCTGCTGGCAGTGAAGGGTACCCGGACACATCCCACTTCCTATCTTCCCCTTTGCTAAGACTTAGCCCTGGGGTAAGGCCCTTCAGCTGTCTGTGAGGCAACCGCTCTTGGGCATGGCCCAGAAGGGCCTACTGGTGACCCCAAGAGCTCCAGCTGCTCCAGCGGCCTCAGAGGCGAGCTCTGGGAGCTGCAGGTGGACTGGGAGCATCTCAGGGGCAATGGGGACTTGCGTGTTAGCCTGACTGGCTGGCTCCAGCTGTGGTCAGTGTGCCATCTGTCACAAGGGGAACAATCATGAGATGGGGATTGCAAACCAGACTCTGTGGTTCAGCCATGTTACCCTGAACAAATCTCACGTGTAAAATGAGAGATACCTATTCTACTGTATCACAATATTGCTAGATTTCATATGAGGGGCACAAAGTGCCCTTGACAGTTCAGACCCTGAGCCCACCTAAGCTTTTTCACTTTCTGACTACGGTCAGGAGTTTTATGTCAGGATCAAGAAAACCTTTCAGTAGAGAGGCCTCCTTCAGCCACCCCTCAAAGACAGGAGATTTTGGTAGGCTACATATGTAGATACAATGTTAATTTAATCAAGGAATCTCTAAGAATAACACACAGTCCAGCCCAAGGGCATTCTAAACTCAAGACTAGAGGAGCCCGCCCACGGGAGGATGAAGACCTTGCACTGCAAATCCCTTAAAGGACAAGAAGCAGCACCCTCTGTTTAGGAAGCGGTTTATTGTTGCTCCAAGGATGAGCGCTCACAAAGGCAACAGCCTTCAGAGCATCTCCCGCATGGCCTGGCTGAGCTTCTGAATCTTGGTCTTCGCAGACATGTCAACGTATTTCTCCCCAATTCGGACAATCATGCCACCCATGATTGACGGATCAGTCTAGGAAATAAAACAGGTTGCAAATGTGAAAACACAGGATTCGCTCATCAGGTGCACAGATTAAAAAACAACCAAAATCCCGAGGAGGCTCGCTAAAACAGGCAGACCACCCACAACACGAGGGGAACTATGCTGGGATCAGGACTCAGCTTCAGCTCAGCCTCGGCACCAACACTGCCCACAGCCTTGGCCGAGTCAGACAATGAAGGGACCAAACTCACCTTAACCTCCAGTTTCAATATCTGTCCTTGACCCAGGAAGCTCTTCAGCACGGTCTTTAACTCGGAGAGAACAGCGTCATCTAAAGGCTAAAAAAGAATGACCACCCTTTAAACAGAGCACAACAGCAGGACCACAGTTAGAGAGAGGGAAAAAATACAAATACTCGTAGGAAGGGAATATAATGTACACAGAGTGCAGACTTCTGAGAAGAGGCCCGAGTGATCCTGAGCCCACCTAAGCCTCACCTTCTTGACTATAAAATAAGGACAATCTTAGGATAGTAAAGATGACAAGGTCCCCAGCAGATGGCAGCGCCAATAAATGGTGGTAGTTACTGCCCTGCTGGCAGCAGGCCACAGGTTAAACAGTCTTATTCTAGAACTTAACATTGCATTTAAGAGTCCAGGCTATAACAGGACCTAAACAGCTATTTCATAAAACGCTTCGATGTCCTTTAAATGCAGCCAGGATCCCCATGACTAACTGCTGGCTTCCAGGTGGAGGCTCACAGGAATCTCACTAGTGACAAGTTGCATTCCGCAGTGGGGGGAAAGGGCTACTTACAGATGCTGTGGTCACCGTGCATGGCACTTCTCCACGGTGGACACTCATGATGGTGGAAAAGGCAGAGATGACCGCCTGGGTATTGCTTAGCCGTCCGTTCTCAGCAAGCACATCTGCGGAAGTGACAGGAACTCAGTGAGTCACATTCAGAGCAAAGCCAATTTGTAGCTGGGGACACCACAATCAGAGTCCTCGGAGACTGCGAATGGGGGCTGGAGGGACAACTCAGTGACTCAGCACGGGAGGTGCTCCTGCAGCAAACCCAGGCTCAGTTCCCATATGTTGGCTCATGACCACCCACAACTCCAGTTTCAGGGGATCTTTTGACTTCCTGGGGCACCAAGTTTTTTTCTCTCTCTGGTCACTTCCCCCTCTTAACCCTAACCCCAACCCTTGCACAGTTAAAACAATTATCTAAGCAAACCCAACTGGGAATGTGGCCACACTCACTCATGAGGTTGGCTGTCAGTGGAGAAAACTTTTCCTTGGCTGTGATACTAGCCAGGCTTTTCGCTTTGATGGAGCGCTTGACGTAGGGGTTCAGAACTGCAAGAGACACCTTGGGGTCCTTCAGGAGTTGCTGTAAGCACACACACAAGTCAGTCAGCACACATTTTGTTCATGACTTTACATGGGGTTAAAGATATACTTTAAAGAACTCCAGAAATACCTTATGAGGTTCCTTACATGTATTTTAAGAAACCATACAAAATTAAGCAGCCACAGTCTCACCATATATCCTACCGCATGTGACACCGTAAGCCCTTTTTCCTCAGCACACATTCCCCCAGCTACACTGAGAGGCCTCTCTCTGAGTCCCCAGACAAACCTAACTATGAAATTCTGGACTGAAAGGGAAGAGAACAAGAACCACAACCATGTTGCAAATCCATTTTATCCCCATTTTGCTAAAGCACAAACACCAACTTAGTAACCACCTGCAGTTTCAGCACCCGCTGACTTCACCATCAGACCAGAGTTCAAGGACCCACAATGGCTCTTCCTGGGCAGGCACCATCCAGTTACACATCTGCACGCCTGCCAGCTGCTCCCCAGCACCCCACTGGCTCCTGGCTGGAATTCAGTCCATTGCCAAGCAGTGCTGATTTTCACGCTAGGATTTCTGCCTGAGTAGCCACACAGAAAAGGCCTTTACAGATATGGCCCCGGAGCCTGGGTTACCCACCTTCTCATGTTTCTGCTAGTAACACCCAGCAGACATCTAAGGTGACATCTCTTACCATCCCACCCCTGCCCCCAGCCCCTCAAAACCTCACTTGCAGCACCTCAGATAACTGTCTACCTTCTTCTCTAGGACTGACTTCTGGGTAGTATAAAAGCAAATCTAAGTAATGAGAAACATGAGAGAGAGACAGACAGACAGACACATACACACATAGAGAAAGAGAGAGGGAGGAGGGGAGAGACTATGGCATGGTGAGTGCGTGCAGGTCCAACAACAACTTGGCCAGATTGGTTCTCTCCTTCCACCATACACCACGTGGGTCTCAGAAAGTGAACTCAAAAGCCATGCTTGGTGGTAAAGTGTCCTTACCCAAGGAGACATCTTATCTGCCCATACACCAAGCTATGTCCACCACCAAAATCATTACCTTCATGGTGAACAGGATTGCTTGGCTCAAAGAGAGCTTAACTGACCACCATATACAGTGATGACCAGAACATGGCCTGTCTGCTCCAGTCAATGCCTCTCCACAGGGTCTCTGGCAGGAAGCCAGGCCCAGCCAAGTGCCTCAGTGTCAGACAAGTGCAGACAAGGAGGGAGGACGGCTAAATTTGTTTTATAAACAGAGTAAAGTTTAAGCTGAATGAATGAGATGAGCAGCCCGTGCAGTGGTCCTACTACACAGGACACTGTGCTAGCCTGGGAAGGCCGGACTGCTTTCTCTAAGGGATCTTAAAACATCTAACTGGAAAAACCACCCTTCCCCTGGGGTGACCACACTGGCCATGGAGTGAGAGCAGACACTTGGTTTCTGCTATTCAAAGGTGATTTCCCTTTCTTTACCTTTCAAAGGAAAATGCAAAGAGAGATTTTTTTTTTCCTGGGCAGTCTTGGGCCTATCAGTTCTGTCTCATTACCCAGCAGCCTCTGCTCAGCCATTCTTCTTTCACTTCTTGGGAATAATTACAAATTCCCCGGAAGGGCAGGATGGCCCAGTGGGCAGAACACTGGCTGCCAAGCTGCTGACCTAAGTTTGTTCCCCAGAACTCGCAAGGTAGAGGACGGGACTCCAACCTCTATATTTGCACCGTACATGCCCAACAGTCCCCAATTCCCAAAATGAGGAAAGGTAATTAAAATTTTTTTATATTTATTTATTTATTTATTTATTATGTATACAATATTCTGTCTGTGTGTATGTCTGCAGGCCAGAAGAGGGCACCAGACCTCATTACAGATGGTTGTGAGCCACCATGTGGTTGCCGGGAATTGAACTCAGGACCTTTGGAAGAGCAGGCAATGCTCTTAACCTCTGAGCCATCTCTCCAGCCCGGAATTTTTTTTTTTTTTAAATCTAGGAAGTTCCCGAAGAAACTGTCATGAAGAAATGTAATTTCAGTAATGTGAAAATAAATTCAAAAGACATTAACATAACCTTGATCTTTTAACACGTCTTGTAGTTTCCAGTGGCTCTTTTTACAGGTCAGGAACAGGCACCGCCAGGACAGCTACTCACCCCCATCCGTAGCAACTCCTTTTCCACTTGGTCCAGCTTATTCTGTTTGGAAGCAGCAGAATAAAGGGCAGTGGCATAGCGACCTTCGATGCCATAAAGCTGCACGGGGGGCTGGGAAAGAAAAGAGGGAAGGGAGGAAGAGTTCAGCCAGGAGTACAATTATTGTTGTATTATGACTTAGAGACCACAGCAGTTAAGCACGTCACCAAGGAGCAGTCCTAAATGAGGACTCACACACGAGGGACATCTCACTTCCTCTGTCCCGAGTCTCTTCCGGCTCTACCTACCTGCAACTATCTGAGCTTCCCATCCTTGAACTCAGCACAAGGCAAGCTCTAGGCATGGGAGGGTTCAGAGACTAACACTCACAGCTCTGAAGACAGGCCAAGTGCACACTCCCCATCACTGTTATGGTGTTTGAGGATGCTCTCAGGATGAATAAAATGCCTCTATTCAGAGGTCTCACAGAACTTGCTTCTGTTGAAACGGGTGGAATGTGTTTCTGTAAGTTCCTACTGCATTCTGTTCTGCTATTTCCCAAGGTGAGTTTACGTACAGTTGACTGGCCTGGGCGCCAGAGAGCATATGACAACCCAGAATATCTCTAGACCTGTAAGCTAAGAAAGCTGAATGGACCCTTCACACATGAACTAGTAATTAGAGTTGCAAAATAATCCATGTACATTCACCCATACTTCACTCTGTATTGGGTAACCAAGTTGGAGTTGTCTGCATCAATCAGACTTCTGGGTTAAAGAGAAAGGGGCTGGCAGACCTTTGCAAGGTGAGACTGCTGGTGCCTGGTAGAGCCAATCGAGTGGACCCATTAGTACTGATTTTGTTTGGAGAAAAAGGGTGCAAAGTGTCAAGAAGTAACCTGGAGTTGCGACACAGTATCAACTCCTGTAACAACTCTAAGGATCTGGGCAATGGTTTTACTCCCAGCACTCCAATCTCTGTGAGTTCAAGGCCAGGCTGGTCAACAGAGTGAGTTCCAGGACAGCCAGGGCGGTTATAAGAGAAACCCTGTCTCAAGGGGGAAAAAAAGAAGAACCTGGGCACTTTATTTTCTTTAGTTAGAAATATTTCCTTCATAGAAAGAAAACAAAAGGCTAGCTTGTCTATGAAGGACTACTAGGAAAAACAATTTAAAATTCGTTTACCCATACACCCTGTTTGTGTGTGCGCGTGTACACACATGTGGAGAACCGAGGGCAGAAGACAATTTGCAGGGCCCTTCCTTCCACCATATGGCTTCCAGGGATCGATCTCAGATTCTCAGGCTTGCCGCCAGGAGCCTTTACCTGCAGAGCTTTCTTGCTGGCCCCAAACAAATAATTCTTAAAACGTTAAAGGCTAGGGATGGGCTGACCACCTCCCCCAACTCATTTGGAAACTGCGAATCTTGCAGAGAAAAGGTTAGTAACTACACACCTCTGCATTTCTGTTTAACTCCCACTACAAGAGAACGGAGGTCAACATACCCTCACGAGTTTGGCAAAGGGCCTGACCACAGACGTGCTGAAGCTCCGTACCTTTAGAACACAGAGATAAAACAGGGTTACGGGAAGGATTTCTGCATTACTTAGCAGTATGTTAAAATAATCTAAGCGATTCGTTGCATCGATTCTCTTATCACACAGGCCATATGAATGGGAACTGCTCTTTATCTACGAATAAATTCCCTATTGAACCATCCCAATTGCTCTGGAAACGGCCTCCCTACCACCTTCCTTGCTGGATGGCTGAGAGAGAAAATGCTAACTTCCCAAAATTTAATTTTCCAAAAAAGAAATCTATCACCTTCGATAAGAATTTTATATGAAAGTGGAATATTTATAGTTATATCACCTTTGAGGAAATTTTAACGAAAGTAGGAGGTTTTCAGTCACGATTCAAGCAAATATACTTGCTTAGGAACTGAAACGCTACCCAAGACCAAAGACTGAGTATACTTGATATAGCAGGCTTCGGGTCTTAAGAGATGACACTGTCTGTCACGGGAAAAGCCTGGAATAGACAGCTTAGGAAGCACCTCGCAAGGGCACAGGTCATTATGCTTCCTGCTCTGGGATGCATAGATTAGAACTGGCTGAGTTAAAAAACTACGGTGTTGCAAACGAAAAGCATCACGGTAGATGATCCAGGCGCGTATTTTTCCCAACCAATTCCAGGTTCCTCCCTCTCCCAGACCCTGGCGGGCTGCTCCTCCGCGCGGTGACCCCGGATGTCAAGGTCAAGACAGCGCAACCCCGCGCCCACGACCCGCGGGGCCGAAGCCCCATCCGCCCCACGCTGTCCCCAGTCGCGGGCCCACGGCTCTCGTGGGCGAGCTGACCCCTCAGCCATGGCCTTGCACGCGGCGCTGGGAGCCGGGGACCGGCCACCCCGGGTGGGACCTCCGGCCAGCTTCGCCTACCTGCCGGGAGAGCCCGGCTGCTGCTGGCGCCGCCATCTTTCTCCGGGCGGTTGTAGGTCAAACCCAAGTGGGGACGGAGCCCAGAGGTGATAGAGCGCACGCGCGCGCCAGCGTAACCGCTCGGCTTTCTGGGAAATGTGCTCATCGGGTTCCAGGGTACGTGGGTAGAGACCTCTTGCATGCTGGGAGTTGTAGTCCATAGGCGCCGTGGTGCGGCTGGGCTCTTGAACCCGAACGAGATCTGAAAATTAAATCTTATATTACTGGCTGAGCGGGTCTTAGTGTAGAGTGGATGGGTTCCCTTTAGTTTAAGGTTTACATTTAGATTCTTTGCACATTCATCGTCAATACCTTTGCCTCGTCTAGAATCGTAGTCTGCCAAAGCGTGCTTTGGTGCCAATGATTCACGCTTTGCTAAACAAATCAATACAAAAAGCACAAGCGACCCTCCCAGGGTCACACGCTTGAGACGAGGCTTCCTCGGCCTGATACAGTTTTCTCTTCCCCCTCCTCCTTCCTCGTCTTACTAGAGCCTGGACCTGCTAGATTTCGGCGGTGTGTGCTTTTCAGAGTAGGAAAGAATGGATCAGAACTAGAATCAGGTTTTAATCAAAGATGACGTAGAAAGTTAAAAGTCAGCATGAGCCTTAGCCGGTTTCTCTGCGTTCTTACAACCGACACGTTTTCAATGCCCTTAATTTTCTCTTCTACAGCAAAGACAGTCAACAGTCTCATCCAAAAACAGGTTTCCTGGTTCTAACACAAGAATTAATTAAGAAAACGCTTTCTGCTCAGATTTAGTATAGGAATACATTTAGTTGATTTGCCCCTTTTAGGGTATAATATTTTCTTCATTACTTTTTTTTTTTAAATGGCGGTAAGTAGGAGAAATCATTCCCTTCTTTTCTACCACCCAGAGGCCTCTGCTGCCAACATCGTGGTGAAATGCTTACCAAAATATCTTTAGGTTGCAGATTGCCCAGGCTTGAATCTTAATAGTTTCGTGAGCTTGGTTAATCACACAATTTCTCTGTGCCTCCATTTTCCTAGCTATAAAATTATTATAGTAGTGCAGTACCTGCCTTACACTCTCGAGAAAATTAACATTTATTTATGTTTTTTTAAAAATATTTATTTATTATGTATACAATATTCTGTCTGTGTGTATGTCTGCAGGCCAGAAGAGGGCACCAGACCTCATTACAGATGGTTGTGAGCCACCATGTGGTTGCCGGGAATTGAACTCAGGACCTTTAGGAAGAGCAGGCAATGCTCTTAACCACTGAGCCATCTCTCCAGCCCCCAACATTTATTTATGTTAACACATATGCTGAGTACACAGTTGACAGAGTTCTTTGTGGTTTTTAGTCACAATCCATATATAACTTAGTATCTTGCCTTTCCCCTTAATGTGAGGGAAAAATGGATACAGAATTATATGAGCTGTGAATACAGCTTTATAAAGTTATTTTAGGCGTATGAGTATTTGCCTACATGTGTGTTTATGTGCCATGTATGTGTGTGTCTATTGCCTGAGAGACCAGAAAATGATGTTGGGTTCCTCAGATCTGGAGATAGAGATGGTTGTGAGCTGCCTGTGGGTGCTGGGAACTGAATATGGGCCCTCTGCAGGAGCAGTGCTCTTAACCACTGGGCCATCTCTCCAGCTTCATGAACACATTTTGCTCAAATTTCTAAGTGATGACATAATTTTAGAGATGTGTCCACAGCTGCAGAATAATCCGTATTTATTCTGTAACTTAAGGGTTGTATGGCTTTTCAGCATAATTCACATGGTTTATACATATTTTGTATTGAAATTTTAAAAAGCAGCACACAAGAGAAAGACGCCATGCGACAGAGTTCAGGTGGAGAGGTTTTTTTTTTTTTTTTTTTAATTGGGGGAAATTAAACGGGGGGAGGGGAGGTCCACTTCTGGGGGACAGGAGCTCCAGAAGAGGCCGAGAGAAAGGGAGGCGGGCAAGACTTACCTTTAAAAAGGGAATGTAGCAAATGGGCACAGCTCTTAGTGGCTGCAGCTGAGGACATATCCTGTCAGGACCCCAAGGGTAGGCCAGGACAGATGCCTGAATACTGATGTTTTGTATTAGTATTTAATACTAATACACTTAAAAATTCTACATCTTCCAGGTATCTTTAGACATAATTTTTTTCTTCATCTTTTGGACAATTTACAGAGTAGAATTTCAGAATTGCACAGCTGATGAATGCACACGAGCCGATGGGCACAGAAGCGAAGCCACTTTCCCCGGTTTACATTCTTGCTAGCAGGGCGTGAATACTTTTGATTTATTCCACTGCTGTTGTATGAGGAGCGGTGGGCTGCATCCCACTGCCTGGCTTGCTTAACCCCCGAAATAATCACACGGAAATTGTACTAATTAAATTACTGCCTGGCCCATTATAGCTAGCGTCTTCTTGGCCAACTCTCACATCCTGACCTAACCCATTTCCACCAATCTGTGTATCACCATGAGCTCATGGCTTACTGGGAAATATTCTAACCAGCGTCAGTCTCAGGCAGGAGCTTCATGGTGTCTGCCACACTGCCTTCTTCCTCCCAGAATTCAGTTCTGTCTTCTCCATCTAAGTTCTGCCCTATCAAAAGGCCAAAGCAGTTTTTTTTTATTCAACCAATGAAAGCAACACAGAGACAGAAGAACCTCCTACATCACATTGCTCCAAATTAATTTTAGAGGTTATTTTTAAATCAGTTTAATGAAAAGCCTATTCACCACTGAGCACATCTTATTAAACCTCCCATGTGTTTTATATCCCAAGCTGCAGCAAGGTATAAAAAGATCAGCCTGCTTGCCTTAACAGGCTGTGCTGGCTAGCTTGACACAAACTGGAGACACCTGGGAAGAAGGCGCCTCAGCTGAGAAACTGCCTCCCTCAAACTGGCCAGTAGGCAAGTCTGTGGATCATTTTCTGGATTAATGATTGATGTGAGAGGTGGGAGGGCCCAATCCACTGGTGGCAGTGTTTGCCTCGGGCTAATGTTTACCTATAAATCTGGCGAGCATGCTCGCAGCGCTTGCTTCTGCTTTCCTGGTCTCCGCAGGAACGGTGGTTCTGTAAGTCTATTTCTCCATTAAAGCTGTATATATTTTTACAATCTGTCTGCATTCATTTACGCCGTTACACCACCCAGTATGGATTGTATAAGAAAGCAGGCCACCAAGCCATGGGAAGCAAGCCAGTAAGCGGTGTATTGGTGACTGCCTCACGTTCTGCCTGGAGTGACTGTTGTCGACTTCTCTGTGATGAACTCTTACCTGGAAATGAGAGCTGAAACAAACCCTTTCTTTCCCCCACGTTGTTTTTGTTTCCTGGTGTGTGTGTGTGTGTGTGTGTGTGTGTGTGTCTGACTGTCCCAGAACTCATTCTGTAGACCAGGCTGGCCTCAAACTCAAAGGACCATCACCACTCGGCTTGTTTGGTGTCTTATTACAGAAAAAAAGTCAAACTAGGAGACAAGCTTACACTATGTAAAACAAACTATAACCCTGTATTTCCTGAAGTATAGGCACATTCGACTTTACAATGTAATTTGGATATCAGTAGGTGAGATAGAAAGCAGAAGTTCTGAGCTCTAATGCACTTGGGGAGTTCTAGACTGTCTACTGCACTGAATTTTTTAAATATACCATTGTTGGCTCTATAGCAAAGAGATACCTTCTACTTATTTTGTATTGTTCATTCCACTCTAGCTCCTGTCAGAACTCCAAAATGGTAGTTTAAGGTTGATTGAATGTCAAGGTTTGCTAGCATGTTGAGTCTCCTCAGGGTGTCTCGCAGGTGTAAGTGGGCTTGGTATGTCACTATTTTGTGGGTGGCAAAGCAGACTTAGATTATTAAAAGAATTAGTTACATCACACATAGTCAAGGCCAATAGAATGACCAGACTTGGCCAAGGGCAGGGCCACAGTGGGAGTGAAGGCCAGACATTTGAGACACCTTATCTGTCTTGTTTCATTTTGGCTTCCAATTCAAGACAAACATTGATCACTGTTTTGTCTTCTGCACAAAGCACAGAAACAGAAAACAGCAGCTTGGCTCCACCAGCCCTTCAACAGTAACGTCTGTGTTTTATTTATTGTTATTGTTTGTGTGTGTGTGATGCCTTTGCCACAGGGTGGCAGCAAATGTCAAAGGACAACTTTGTGCAATTCATTCTCTTCTTCCGCCTTCATCAGGCTTCCAAGGCGAGAGCCTTTACTGTCTGAGCCATCTCGCCAGCCCCTGCATTTGTCTTTAAATTTAGTGACTTGCTCTTTAATCCAGAAAGAACTATTTTGAAATTCTGCTATTCAGAAAACCCAGATGAAAAGGCCAGACTTTTAGGAACAATTTCTCTAGTTCATTACCAGAAACCCAGATGAAGGCGAATGTGTCCTAATTCTTCACCGCACTCACTTAAACACAGAATAAGGGAAAACGTCCAAGCACATGGATGTAGCAGGCTTTTTCTTTTGGGCCACCAACCAGCAATCCCGACATGGAGACTTCTTATTAGTTTTGCATGCTCGGCCATAGGTTTCTTGATAACTCTTATAACTTAACCAGTTTCTCTTCATCTGTGTTTTGCCTCGGGCCTTTTTACCTTTCTTTCCTTCTGTATATCTTACTTTCACTGCTTCTCATGTCTGTCTGTCTGTCTGGTGACTCTGGCTTCTGGCCCCAGGCCTGTCCCTCTCTTTCTCCCCCATTCTCTTCCTCCTCCTCCTCTTCTTCTTCTTGCCTAGATTTCTCCTCCTATTTATTCTCTCTGTGCATCAGTCCTGCCTACCCCTCTCCTGCTTAGCTATTGGTAGTTCAGCTTTTTATTAGACCAATCAGGTGTGTTAGGCAGGCAAGGTGAACCATCTTTACATAATTAAACAAATGCAGTATAAATGAATGTAGCGCATCTTTGTCCAGTTAAAATAATATTCTACAACATATGGGAGTGACTTTTTGGAACGGTATGTTATGTGGCCATTAAAACGAGGTTTTCAAGCTAGCCATAGTGGTGTGCCCCTATAATCCCAGCACTCAGGGGACAGAGGCAGGCAGATGACTGTAAATTCAAGTCCAACCTGT